CGCCCGTCCTCCTCCCACCCCTGGCAGCCGCCGGCAAAAGCAGCGAGCGAGGACCCGTCCGGGCCCACGCGGCGCAGCACTTGCAACCGCAGGAGTCACCCGCCTCGGAGTTTGCGCGTCCGTCCCCCCCGTCGCACCACCAACACGTGGCAGGGCAACAGCAGCTGCTCAAGGCGGCTGGTTCGGCGCTCTCCACCCCGTACACGTCCCCGTACCACCCCTCCGTGGTGGTGGATGAGGCGGGAGGGAGGCGAGGAAGAAAAAAAGGGGGGGGGGAACCGGAGGGGTCGGAGTTGCGTCGGGGGCCGTCCAGGCAGCAAGCCACGTGAGGCGATGGAGGAGAGGAGGGGAGGGGGGAGGCATGTGTAGAGAGGAGGAAAGTTACCCGGACGTGGAAAGAGACGGGCCGCTGTGTGATAGAGAACTCGTGTTGATGGGCTGTAATTTTCGAAATGCGAGGAAGGCGGGAGTGGGCGTGGACCGACGCAGTAGAACAGACCGAGCCACTGGTTGTGGCGGGAGGGAGGGGCAATGGAGGAGGTGCCTGGGGACCACGGAGTCGAGTGGGACGATAGGAGACGGTGGTGGGGAAGAATGGCCGGAAGGGAGGCGTGGGGAAGGGCGACGGGGATCGGGAGAATTTGGATGGGAGGGGATTCGGGCGGCGGTGGGGAGAGCGTGTGGTCGGAGAACGGGTGTAGAAAGCGATGGATTGGGTGTCGGTGGGATCTGGTCGGGGCCTTTGCCTTGTGTGATGTATTAGAGACCCGGGGCTTTGTATGATGTGGTGGGGGGGGCTGGTATCTGGATGATGTTTCTCGTACGTATGGCCTGACGATGCTGCCGAGCCCTCTGGAATGATGACGCCCTTTACCCCATGGCACTCTCGCGTACTGAATGCCCGCGGGCGATTGGCAAGGAGCGGCATGTCGGTCGAGGGGGCGAATGCGGATGCTTTGTGTAATCCGGCGGCCCATACGAGGGTCAAGGGAGGGGGGAGAACGACCAGGTGTAGCACCACGGAGGGGAAAGAAAGCCGACCAGCGTGGTGTGCCGCACGTGCACGCTTTTGAGGACTTGTACAAGCAGTGGAGAAGAATGAATCAGTCAGCGGGGAAGAATAAATTAGTCAAAGCATAGTAAGGCTGACACGGGCAAGTCCGCAGCGTGCTTCTCAGCGCCAATCCGAGCACGGGCTGACATCAAGACGAAATATCTCATGTCGAGCGAATACAAAGCAAGAGTCATGCCAATGCCGAGAATACAATGCCTGCCCGGCAGAGAACGGCTTCCATGGGCACCTCAGAACGCGGTTCTTTTAAATCGCCCTTGATCCCTGGTCTGGTCGGAGCTCATGCCAATGACCTTGATTCCTTCAATATGCTTTTCCGGGAAGGCTGCCCTAGCTGCTCTATCCACGACACTCTCTGACCCCCCCACCCCTTCT